GTCCATCACTTTGTCCTGTGAACAGAGTCTGCACGGCTCTACCTGAGTCTTTCCTGAAAGCCATTGCAGGCTACAAAATACCTGGGTCCATTGTCAAAAGGACTTCTAGGCTGCTACTCCAAAAAAATAGTATAGTTCAAGCAATATACTGTAGGTACTCAAAAACAGCAATGGTGAATATAAAAGGAGAAAATCAGTTTGGAGAAGAGAGAACAGGTGTATATTCCCAGGATAAAAGATTCTTACACTGACAGGCTAACGTTTTAGTCTTGAATCTAAATCTGGTTACCCAGCCATGTGGCTGAAGCTGATAACTTCTTTTAAGTAACAGCTGGACAAGATCCTTAAATAATTAGCCTCCTGTAGTCCACCGTGCCTTCAATGTTGTGCATATCTTTAGCAATGGAGACATTGAGACATTCTAGTAAAATCCTCATTAATTGTCTCTGAACATAGTGAAATTCAAGTTGATAATTGTTTGAAGTTCAAAGGGTTTGCAGTAGTATGAGTAGTCCTTATCACAGGTGATTCTATCAGTGCAGCTATACCCAAAGCCTGGTGTGCTCACAGATTTCTACATTCTTTGCATGTATTTTGCCTATTGTTATACCTTTCTCTTTTTTTTACCTCACCAGATAATCTCTCTGGAACTGCTAAACCCAACCATCCTGTAGTTATCTGTGTTTTCAGCATTGCTCTTGTACAAGAACAGTTATTGAATCAACTGTGGTCTTGAAAAAGGCGACGGCCACCTTCTTACAGAGCAAAGAGGGCTGCTGTCCTGGGCCCAGATTCCCTGCCTCTCCCGAGAGAGTCCGTATGTGTCCACTTCTTCCAAATCCCAAAATGTGGATTTTTTTAACCCAGCGGAGTACATCTAACTTATTTCGTGTACAAGTACACGGGCCTCTTCAGTAATAACTAACATTCAGCAGGTTTCGCCAGACAGGAGCCGATGAGAACAAGAAGCGATGTAGTGAGATGGGGGAGAGAGCTGAAGGAGTTTCTGTGTGTCTGTAAGGGGCTGGGTGTGAAGGCCTCGGCGCTCCCCCTGTGCTGGTCTGCACTCTCCAGGTTATTGAGCATGTGGCGCAGCCATCCTTCGCATCCTTCGCCACGGGCCCGTCTGCTTGTTGGTCTCCTGCTGCGCCTGTCTCGTCCTCGCTGTCCCTGCCAGACGGCGCTCAGGAGGGCACACGCCTCCCCACGTGACTTCCAGAGCGTCCCGGTGGCCCGATTCTGTCTTCTCCCACCCAGACAGATGAGACCCCTTGTTAGGCTGCAAACCTGCTGCAGGCTGAAGCCAGACCCGCTCTGCATGTGATCACTCCTCTCCATCAGCGGCCACCGCCTCCACGGGGCTCTGGTGGAAAATAAGGAAGAAGCGCCACAGAGGCAGAAACCAGCAGCTCGTCTGTAGTGAAGCCAAAGCCACCCTGAGACCAGAGACTCCAGCTGAGGCAAAGCACCAGCCTTTGTTTGTTTGCGGCTTTTCCTTGGGAATATGGAATGAAAAATGGGGGAAAAAAAAACGAAATCCAATAGAAAATGCATAATAGGAGCAGATCCTCCTAAAGAATAATAAATTAAGGAAACAGTCAGACTAGAAGTACCCTTTAAATGGGATTATAAAACCTCAGAGAGAAATATCTTGGAAGATAAGGTGTTACAGGAGGGCCTTGATCCAATTGACCGCAAACAGGTTTACCCAATGCAGTATCTTATTAACCTTGCACTCTCACTCTCTGTGAAAGTGAGCGGCCCTTGGTTGCTGATGCCGGCCTTAATTATTCATGCACTGATGTGTGCCTTGAAAGCTTTGTTTAAAAAAAATATGAAAATTTTAATTTTTTAATTTGGAAGCCTTGAGCAACATTCGTTTCAGAAATATAAAAGTCGATGAGTTCGATGTCCAAATCTCCTTACCATATGAAAAAATATTTTTTTACTGGAAATTCCAGTGAAATATAAAGACAAGTAGAAGCTGTTTTGAAGGCTTCCAAGCAAGCCCCTGCCCAATTACTTTAACAATGTGAATATCCACAGTGAAACCTACCCAGTCGGAGATTATTGGCTAAATAGGATTTGATGTAGCACTGAAACTGCGGGATGTTTTGTCAAGCAGTCGATGACCTGGTGTGCACAGATAAAAGTATTACTGCAAACTGTGAAGTGTGCATTTGCAGTAGGTTTGGGTATAATGAAAACCTGTCGAGTTTAAAATTAGTTGATGTAGTGATTTCCACAATAATGATAGTTTGAATTTTGCAGTCAGACAACAATTGTTGTTCACACAAACCCCCCCATTTCCCCATATGTTAAATTCAATGGCACTAAAATGACATCAGGTGTGGAGTTCGTTTTCTAAAGAGTCCTTGCACAGAAGTGGTTTTAGAGGCCACGTTTCTCCATGACCCACTGTGGGTAGCAACATTATCCCAGCATCTGGTGAGGCGCAACAGAAACAGCTTGGGGTGTTTGTGAAAGCACACCACAGTCCGTGCAGTGGTGTCTGAGACGGAGGAGTGGGAACGAAATGGTGTGGTGGCCAGGCGGCCATCTTGGTCTACACAGGAACAATAGATCTTTCTAGAAAATGGCGGAAGGGGTTTGCTGATAAACTGAGACCAGCCATATTGAAGAGCCCTTGTTCGGGCTGGAATCAGCTTTGTTCCAAACCAGCTCTGACACAAGCCCGAATATTTCAGAAAGGAGGGTGCTTAGATACGCTTTGTGCTTTTTTTCTTTACATGTTTATGTTTTTGTTTTATGGAGTGATGTAGTCCTGCACTGTACTTGAAAAGGGGCTTGGCCAACACACGAGTGGTCTGAGGATGAGGCTGCAGTGTTGCTGACAGCTGACCAAGACGAGCCGGACACTCCTCAGAGATCACTGGATATGCTGATAGACTGCCATTTGTGTCAGACTTGACTTCGCCTTCAGCTCTCTTGGAAATTAAGGAGGAAAATGAGCTGACACCCTCCTGCCTGTTTCTTAATGGGTGAATGGTTTTATGGATTCTTGCACAATTCTGGTGCTTTCTTGAGAAACAGGTATGGCTGGAGGAAGCGGTGCTGTGTCACCTGTCCTGTCTGCCCGGTAAACCAGGATCCCATTTTCTTGTTGCTGGAAAGGCAGCTCTCAGTATAACGAGCACTGCTTTTTCCAATAGAATAGATTCTTGACATATTTCCAAAGGCGTGCGCTTGGCGCTTGTTCAAGACAAAAGGGGTTCATATTTCCTGAAGAAATACGATGCTGTTTTTTTAGGTGTCAAGCACATGAGATTTCAAGGCAGGTGTTCTGAAACCAGTTCTGAGCCACGTTTTGAGTTTTAAGCTTAATGTTACAGCATAATATTAACAATCTCAAAGTAATTCCTTGAATTGGCAAATCTAGGATTCTAAAGTGCTTTATATATTGGAGAGGAGTCGGACCCACTTCATCAGCTACTGAGGTATGGGTGACTCACAGTGACGTGGAGTCTGTTTTAAGGAGCAACTGCTCTCCACTGCCAGTGTACCCACATGCTGCTGGAGGTCTTAGTCCCTGCATTCTCCACCCTTTCTGGGAAGTGCTGTCAGAGTATCAGAGCACTGTGCAGCTGGACTCATCTGCAGTGTCAGAGTACTTCCAGGAACCATCTTCATGTACCGTCCTTTTACCATGAGATGATTCAGATTTCTTTAAGCCTGGTAATATGATTTCTTGCTGTAATTGTGTAATTGACTTGCAGAAATAGGAGGCCTGTCACAGTGTTGCAGGGAATACGGCTGCTTCCCAGGAATCTGTATTCCCTGCATCCCTGTGGTGGTGACTGCTGTCTCTGTTGTGGGACGAGCCGGGAGTCTGGGGACAGGTTATCGCTGGCAGTTTGTCAGCAGGGATGTGTGGGCTCTGTCCTGCCGGGTCTTTTGGCCTGTCTGTCCAGTCAGCTCTGAATGATGAGCCAGTGCACTGCCTTCTGGACCAACACCACTGTGTCTGCTTGCTTGTAGCTGTGCGCAAAGTTACTCAAGCAGAAACTCAGAGGTGTCATCTTGTTTTTGTTATTTTTAATGCTAAACATTCTTCAGCCTGTTCATTTGAAGATGGATGAGAGTGTAGAATGCCTCGAGTTATTAATTTATCAATTTAAGAAGCTTTTTCTGAAAAAAAATAGAAAGCTGAGTGGGTGCCTTCTTTAATTCAGATGCCAAATTGGAGCTTTTTTGCAGAGGTTTTATTTTTTAGTGTGTTAAAATTGACAGCTTTTGCAAACCCTTTTTGTTTAAAAAGACATTTCTTAATTCCTCATAGGGCAGTGATGGATTAGGCTCATATTTTATAGCATGGCTGTGCTCCGTGCTGAGAATAGAGCAGGAAAGGTATGTCCTGGAGGGGAAAGTCTGTGCAGAATTGGACCTGAAACAAACCAACCAGCAGCTTAAAAAAGGAGCCTCTTGGCTCCTGGTTCCCGAATCAGTGTCTCCTACCTTTTAGAGTATCAGCTCAGTGTAATTGCCCAGAGTGCACCAGCACGACAGCCGGCAGTCTGGCGCTTGCTGGGCAGCGGAGGGTCTGTCCTTGCTCAGCCCAGAGGGAGCACAGGCCTGCCATCTGTCTGCAGTGTCCTGCTAGGGGATCACCCGCCTGGATGAGTGTGCACAGCTAGGAGCTCAGCCGCCCATGGAGCCACAGCGCGCTGGACCACGATCGGTCACTGCTGTCGGTACCTGTCGCTGTTCTCTTCTAGGAGAAAAGGTGTGTGGTCCCACTGTCGTGTGCTGTTTCTTTTTGCTTCGTGACAGTTAATTGTTGCAGCAAATTAAGTCATAGCAGTCATTTGAGTTGATCATGGGTTTTTTTCTCCATGAAGTAACTTTTGAAAGTCTACTTGTCTTTGTCTTTCTAGAATAAATAAGTTGCAGCATTGACGGGTCTATAAGATGCCCTTCTCATAAGGTCCTCTTTTGACTGACCTCAGTCTCTCTCCTTCTCCCTGCGCTGTGTCTCACAGGTGCCCCTACCTGGCCGTCCACCTGTCCCCGGCCATCCCCGTGTTCGCCGTGGTGCTGTTCCTGTTCGTCATGGCTATGCTGCTGCGCACCAGCTTCAGCGACCCCGGGGTGCTGCCGCGGGCCCTGCCTGCCGAGGCCACCTTCATCGAGATGGAGATTGGTAGGCGCCGCGCCCCTCCTGCGTGTGGACCGCACGATGTGCGGATGCGTGGTCACGCTGGGAGACCTGTGTCCGGATATAGCGGCTCCAGCGGTGCAGAGTGCGAACAGTTTAGCGTCAGGTGGCGCAGGGCTGTTGCTCCTGTGGGCTACTGCTGCAGGTGGTTCTCTGTGTTGCTGGTACAGAGCAAGAGTGCGGACCTCTACTTTCTCTGTAACGTTCCAGTTTAGTTTTCTGAGTTCTGTCTATGTTTTGTTGGTAACTCACAGTAGGGGGTGGCTACGTGACTGGTGGGCTGAGGGTTCGAGTCCCTGCTACTGTACGCTGTGCAAGGTGCTGTACCCCTGTACCCCCCAGTCCTCCCAGCTGTATAAGTGGGGATCAGTGTTGCTGGGGGATGATCCCTGTGTTTGATGTGAGGAGTCACATGCTCTTCTGTCCGTTTCATGCTACAGAACTCTTCCGTACTCTTCACTCTGGTGTGACCCCTGCTGGCAGGTGGTGTCCTCTGATAGGCTGACAGGCGGCGCACGCGTGTGTGAGGAGCCACACGTCTGGCCGGTCAACATGGGGGGCCTTGAGCCGTCCCCCTCCTCTCTCGCTGGGGTAGATGTCACTGAGACCCAGGGCTGGTGAAGGTGCTCTGCCAGTTCCACGTGGGTCTTTGTTTTTTCACTGGGGATTTGGACAGGCCTACCCTCTGTTTAGCCCATATATAAATGACCCAAATGAACCCTTCTGTGCATTAACACATATCACATGGCTAATAGTAGAAGTAAGAAGCAATGGATGTAAATCACTTCCCTCATTTGGCTGTGTGGCAACAGCTGGCATAGGTCTGAGCTCATCTTTGCAAGACATTCAGCACAGCTTCTGCTTTCTTGCTCCGAGCTCTGTGGGGTGCACACCGAGGGAGAGAGAGTAGATACTGCAGACAGTGATGTGAATATCGTATTTCCCCCAGGGACTGAGGTATTTTTATAACCGGCTTTTCTAAATTTGTTGTCTTTGCTGTTAAATGCAAGTAATATTTTCCTTAGCAATTTTAATTCTAGTGAATGTTAGGCACTCTGCACAGCTGAATCACAGCTTTGAGCTGATGCTTCAGTAACCAAAAAAAGAAACTGAAGCCGTTGTGGGGTTGTCCTATGTGTAATCAGTCACGCATTAGTACTTAGTAATTTACTTGAACTTAGTAATTAGTAATTTTTACCTTCAGATCTAAGTAGGGAATCTGTAACTCATTACAATGTGTGTTTGCTTTCACAGTGCAGTTATTAATATATTTTTCAATGCTGTCCAAGAGTAGCACACAGATATTAAATAGTACCTTTTACAGATGTGGATATGCTGTGCATTACTGTGCTCAGCCAGGAAGTACAGAGAGTAGTGGTAAAAAAATCTGTGTGTCCTGCAGAAGTCCTGCAGAATATTAAGACAAATAAAATCCAACGCTTCCCAGTGTTTTAACCACACACTGCACAGCTGTTTGAGGGTACGAAGTCTACAATGGCTTCACCTCCACCTTTCATGACTTCAGAGTCATTTTTGGGAGGGGAAGCGAACATTTTCAAAGAGTTTTCAAAGTATGAAACATGTTTAAAGAGAGCGTGTTTCTGTGCGCGGAGCAGCACTTGTTTGATCCAGTGTCGCGGAGTGCGTATGTCAGCAGAGTGGCTGTGGGCTGCTGTTGCCCAGGGAGGGGGCAGGCATGGTCTCTATCGGTCAGCTATCGGACAGTTGCTATAGCGATCCCTGCGGAGGCCAGGGTTGAAAGTCCAGACTCCTCTCCCAGTGCAGAGGACAGTGCAAGAAAGAGGGGGAGTGTTTAATCAGGGCAAAGTGATTACACAGTATTGTACTGTATTTGTCCAAGATATTCCATCACACTAAACAAATCTAGATTGAGTTCCAGATCTCAGTGTCTTATTCACACATAGTGTTTTTATTGAAAATGTTCCCCCTCAGGTTCATAATTCATTCTCAAACAGGGGTGCTGGGCAAGACCGCCTTTATCTAAGCTTGTCTAAACACAGCAGTTAAGAATGTGTGGCACCACACGCAGGTGTGTTGTGATAACATTTGTTGGAAATGCACGTTAAGTGTCAGCACAGACTCTGCAGCATGTTTTTCTTCCGAGAATTATTACAACAGCACAAGGCAGCACTCTGAAATGGGTGCAGCCGGAGAGGTAACATTCCAACCATTGTCAAAGTTCACAGTGACTGACAGATGTGCGTTAGTTTCTCAGTAAACTTTAGATTTGCTGTAGTGTCTTAATTAAACTAAAAAATGAAAGATGTTCTCTCCTCAAAAGGGCATTAAGAATAACTGTGATACGTTCTGGAAGGTGTGAGGTTATAGAAATATTTTTTTTCCTGTTGTAATTATCTTGTTGTCATTTTCCTGTTTGTATGGCAGAGCAGTCTTGGAAAGCCTGCAGGTCCCTCACACCTTCTTTCCCGCAGTTGTGACCCAGCCAGATTCTTTCTATCTCAGCTGTTCCACTGCTGGCTTGTAAATGACTCAGTGATCTGCTGCCATTCAGCAATAACCAGTTTGGGTGCCCGATCTCGAGCAGCAGCCTGCTTATCTCAGCGGGGTCTGAAAAGGCCTCCATCTGGATAAAAAAATTGCTCTAGCTGAAGCCTTAGCTCCTGTGCTTTGGATGCAGCTCACTGCAGACCCAGCTGTCCCTGGTGAGGCTGGGAGACATGGCTGCGAGCCTCCAGATAAGATCTGTTGTGTTGTTTCTCACAGAGGCGGCCAATGGGAACGTCCCGGCAGGACAGCGCCCGCCCCCTCGGATCAGGAACGTTCAGATCAACAACCAGATCGTGAAGCTCAAGTACTGCTACACCTGCAAGATCTTCCGCCCCCCTCGCGCCTCGCACTGCGGCATCTGCGACAACTGCGTGGGTGAGTCAGGCCGGCCGGTCCGGTCCGGTCCAGCCCGGCTACAGCAGGTGGGCTCGGCCCTTCCCTGAGTCACCCTCTTGCCAAATTTTCGTTTGGGATTACAAAAAAAAAATAAACATCCAATTTCAGCAAACCAAACCTGCCAAGGTTAATTCCACGTTGGGAAAAACAGCGCGGAGAAACGCGGCGTTTCAGCTCTTGAGCCTTCATTCAGGAGACAAACCCTCAGGGCCGCAGTTTCGATCTGAAGTAACAAGGCTACCTCAGATCAGAGCTCTCTGACACACGTAGGGTAACTTCCAGCCTCTGTGCCAGTGAAGGCGTCTGTGTGCCAGGCTCTGCCCCTGTGAATGAGACTGAAAGCTGAAAGGAGTGACCTGACCACTTTAAACACCAGAGCACTTCAAGATGTTATTGTTTCATATGGGCAATTGCCAAGAACAATAGCCTCACCAGTATCTTTGTTGCCCTTTCGGTTGCCTTTCTGAATTTGATTCCAGTCGAGAAAGAAATATATATATATTTTTTATTTGCAATCTACGTTTGACTGAGTTCCAGCCTAAGAAAGAAATGCTGAGATTGACACCTGGTTATGAGAACGACCAGGCCTGGCCAGCCCATAGTTTAACTTTAGGGTGTTTTTTCCATGATCTGTAGAAAATGATCTGGATATGCAAACAGTCTCGGAGAAGGGTTTATGCACCTGCTACAGCCAGCGACGGCTGAGAGGAGCAGGTGTTTCCACAGGAGTGGGAACAACAGGACAGAGCTTGCCTGCAGCACGTGGTAATTGGTACATGAATGTGGGCGTACACAAGCACACGGAGGAGCCCTGCGCACCTGCGGCAGATCTGCAGCAAACTCATTTCCTCTCTGCTGCTCTCCAGGCCTGCTGGCCTTCGTGCGGGAGGTAAACGTCCCGAGAGTGGTGAACTGCAGCTCTCTCTCTTCATCGGGCCTTCCCCAGCTGAAGCTTTTGTCTTTCTGTTCTTCTTCCTTTTTTCCAATTTCACCTGAGTAGAAAGGAAAAACGGAACAGCCCAGTGTGCCCGCGGCGATTCCGGTTTCCCCCTGAACCTGTAGTGCTAGCCTGGTGCTACACAGAAAAAGAAAAACTGCCGAGGTGTCCGGTAGATGTCACCAGTAGAAAGATTGTAAGAAGCTGGACACACACTTTCTCTAGGCCAAAATATTTTTCAACTAATTATGAATAATTCCAACTCATCAGTGTTTCAACATACAAAATATGATTAATTCCATGTCAAACATTGACCAACTGTTTCAAATTTTGATAAAACAATAATTATGTTTTTGAACAAATGTGGGTTTATATTTTACTTATTTTATATGCAAGTCCTGATAGGATTTTAAAAATATAACTATGGCCAGATGGATTAATTTATTTCATGATTGTTTCTGTAAAGAAAGGACTTTGTGCCAGCCATGAAGGAACACTAGTTTCTGAGTTCCTTGTCCAACTGAAGGCGTGTGTCCTGCTGAAATGTTGATGAGTTGAGAAACAGTTTTGCAGAAGAGAGTGGGTCCAGCTTCTTTTCTACCCAGCTGTTGTGGGTAGTGAGGAGAGAGGAGACTTGGGAGGCAGTGACAGCACAGAGCCTCACCCAGGTGCTTGGAGTCCTGGATCCATTCCAGGCACCAGGGAAGAGGAATATACATAGATTTTGAGAGAGTAACATTCAGAGTTAGGGCTTCCCAGCCCCAGACTACATTCCCAGAGTAAATACAGAACTGTTTTTTTATTTGTAATGATGAGTGCTGTGTATGTGCGTGTGTGTGCGTGCATGCGAGTTCTGCATGTGCGTGTGTGTGCGTGCATGTGAGTTCTGCGTGTGTGTGCATGCATGGTAGTTTTGTGTGTGCCTGTGTGCACACGCGTGTGTGCATGCATGCGAGTTTTGTGTGTGCCTGTGTGTGCACACGCGTGTGCATGCATATGAGTTCTGCATGTGCATGTGTGCGCATGCATGTGAGTTGTGTGTGTGTGTGCGTGCAGGTGAGTTCTGCATCTGAGTTGTGAGCGTGCGCATGCATGTGAGTTCTGCGTGTGCGTGCGTGCAGTGGTAACACCCACTGTGTTCTGCTGACCAGTCTGCCATCTCCTTTGCCCCGCAGAGCGCTTTGATCACCACTGTCCCTGGGTGGGGAACTGCGTGGGCAAGAGGAACTACCGCTACTTCTACCTGTTCACCCTGTCCTTGTCCCTGCTCACCATCTACATCTTCACCTTTGACATCGTCCACGTCGTCCTCCGTGAGTGTCCCGGGACTGCAGCGCGTGGGGAGTGGGGTGATAGCATCAGTATTTTTGGTGCTGGAGGGAAATAAATAAATATATATATATAACCACAAATGGGTTTGTGCATCCTGTCTACAGATTTAATTTTTTCCTCATATGCAGTATCTACAGTATTAGTATGTATATGATTAGTGTCTAACCGGACATGGTATGGCATCTGAATATTTCCTGATGTCAGCTGACTAACAGCCAGTGCTGTAACATTGTTAACATGTACATGTTTATACTTAAAACTGTGGATGGAAATTCTGTTGCATTAAATAGTTTTGTTTGCTTCTTCCTATCTCTCATCTGTTTGGCATACAAATTAATGCTAGTCTAAGAGGCATATTTTGCATGTATTCAGCACTTGCCTTAGGAAAGAGCCTCTTTTTTGGTTATAGAATATGGATTTCAGTCTCTGAAAGTGATCTTTGTCCACCCTAATTAAAAAAGGGCTCTTTGCAATGCAAGGAGGCTGAGGACTGTATTTTTAGTTTGGTTAATTAGCTCAGAGCCTGCAATCTTAATTTAGACAAGATTGTTCCCAGTGCTTTTGCCAAGTGCCTGATCTGCATATATCAGTGAGCAATCTGCAGCCGCAGCTTTGAGAGCTGGAGTGGGCAGAGAGATGGATAAGTGTGTGTGCGTGTGTGTGTCTGGCCTTGCGTCACTCACTGCGGATGTCTTGCTGTTTGGTTGCTGTTTTTGTTTCAGGCTCGGTGGATTCTGGGTTCGTGAACACACTCAAAGAAACTCCGGGGACATATCCTTTAAGCTGGGCTTTGATATTTAATCCAACAACGTAACAGCAGTATAACTTAGTGAATACATTTCGTTTTAGACAGCCTGTAAGAGCACTCCTCTCAAGCAAGCACTTGTGTGATGGGAGAGAACGCGCAGGGCTCTTTTCACGGTGCAGCGGGTCTGAGCCTGTGCAGAGACGGTCGAGGCCAGGTCCCCTGCTTTGTGCTGGGTGCCTGCTGGTCCATAATACCATCTGGAAGAACTGGTAGGCCACAGAGGCTGTACGCGCAGAGCTGTATATAGAGAAATCTGAGGCCGGAGATGGTTTGGTACATTTCAGCCACCGGTCCTGGTGCGGAGATGCTCGTCATGCTCGTTGTCTCTTTAACTCAGCCCACTGTCCTGGAGGTGCTGGTGTGCTTCTTCACGCTGTGGTCTGTGGTCGGGCTGACGGGCTTCCACACCTACCTGATCTCTCTCAATCAGACCACCAACGAGGATGTGAGTACTCTGTATCTGGCTTTTCCCCGGGTCTCCCTCTGTTCGGTGCTCAATGCCTACTGAACCCGTCTCTGTGCCTCCCTGTGGTGATACCAGCCGCTGTGGAGCCCAGGACAAGACAGTGGCAGAATATGCCTGGCAGAGCTCTGACATGCTGGGCATGTGCACGTGAGCACTGCCGGATCAGGCTAACAGAATATCGCATCTAATGTAGTGAAAGTTACCATGGAAAGGTTTGGAAATTTCTAGCAATCTTCTTTTCAAGCGCAAACTGTGAACCAGGCAAAGATTCAACTCCTTGCACGTCACAGTCCTTTAAATATACACAGGGGGGAGTAAGCAGGCGGTGCTGTGCCAAACCAGATGTCACCTTGCCTGGCATGAGGTATGGTTAGAAACCAAGCGAATCTGTGGGCTTCAGCTGAGTGTTTCTCGGCGCCTCTCTCCTCCTCTGTGGCATGAATCCCAGCCTGACCTTGTGTAGCAGAGGCCTGTGCATTCAAGGGGAATTTTACAGCAGTGGATATTATTCATGTCTGAAGCCTGGCGTGCTGGGCTTGAACCACAGAAGCTGTAGAAATGTGCAGCACAGAATCGCCCTTTGCCCTGCTGGTTTATTTTCCCCTCTGTTTCTTGGTGCCCTGTTTGAAAAATGATTAGCTATGAGAAGCAAATATTTGACGAAAATTGGAAACTTTCTGCCTGTGTTTACTCATCTCTAATTACTGTATTATGAGAAGAATCAATACCTGCCTTTGTTGTACGGCAGCCAAACATTAATGTGGAAGATAAACAGAGGAGTAAAAGGGCACCTTCAAACTTAACATGTGGTCATTCTCTAATACATTTCATTCCAAGCAGTGCTCTGCAATAGCCCTACAGCCCACAGTCACTGCAGTACTGTCTCCTGTCTTCCTGCCTCACATGTTCATAGCAGTGTATGTGGATTAGTCCTGTAGATAATCTCAAATCTTAATTTCAAACAGCATGTACTCATGCACATGGTCTCAGGGCTATCATTCTGGTGTCAAGCAGTGCGACTTAGAGTACGAGTGCTTAAAACTCTCGTGTTGAAATAAGATCTGAACACAGGGAAAGAAGTCCCTCAGTGTCACAAACACAAAGTACAGTGCACGTCTGGGTTTGGTGGTCTTATAAAAATAATAATTGCTGACACTTATATAGCGCTTTTCTGGACACTCCACTCAAAACGCTTTACAGGTAATGGGGAGTCCCCTCCACCACCAGTGTGCAGCCCCACCTGGATAATGCGACAGCAGCCATAGTGCACCAGAACTTCAGAGAGGGGGGTTATTAGGAGGCCATGATTGGTAAGGGCCAATGGGAAATTTGGGCCAGGACGCCGGGGTTACACCCCTACTCTATTCGAGAAATGCCATGGAACTTTTAATGACCACAGAGAGTCAGGACCTCGGTTTTACGTCTCATCCAAAGGACGGCGCCTGTTTACAGTATAGTGTCCCCGTCACTATACTGGGGCATTAGGACCCACATTTACCGCAGGGTGAGCGCCCCCTGCTGGCCCCACTGACACTTCTTCCAGCAGCCTCAGCTTTCCCAGGAGTCTCCCCTCCAGGTACTGGCCAGGCTCACACCTGCTCGGGTTCAGTGGGCTGTCAGTGGTGAGTTGCTGGCGGTCTTGTCTTGGTCTTGCCAGACTGCTGATGGGGGGGGTGTTCTGTTTTGTGCAGATTAAAGGCTCCTGGTCGGGGAAGAACCGAGTGCAGAACCCCTACAGCCACAGGAACATCATCAAGAACTGCTGTGAGGTGCTGTGTGGGCCTGTCTACCCCAGGTGAGGGCTGTCTTGAGCTCCGGTCTGGCTTTTCAGTTCTCTCTCTGCCATTCGTTTGACAGATTCTTCATGGTGAAATGTAGGAAAACTAGAAATGCTTATGAGTATTCTCTTTCACTTTGAAAAGTGGTTATTAAGGATTACGTGTATTGTTGGAGACCAGTGTGTGGCTATGCCGCCTAGTATACTATTCCTATTGAGCTCTCTGGAAACATGCTGCACACTGTTTGTTATTATCAGACTGGCTAGTATTATTACTGTGTGCAGGACGAGCGCTTGGGCTTGCTGAGCTGTTGTCAGTCTGATCTGAAGTGACTGGGGGCTTTAGTCGGGGGAGTGGGGGCAGGGGGTCGTCGAGGAGGAGTGACGTTGTGTGTCCGTTCTCTGCAGTGTTCTGGACAGGAGGGGGCTGATGGTGGAGACGCCCACCCCCCCCATTTCAACCACCGCCACCAAGAACAGTGACCCAGACCCTCAAAACACGGTAAAATACTTTCAAACTCTTCTCTGTTGGTAGGTCCGTTCCTTTTCTTGTTTTGACCAAGTTCCTGGAGTGCATTCATGGACTGCAAAATAGAAAAAAGAATCTGTGTAGAAGGTGATGCCTCTGCAGCTGCTTAATCCATTGCGTTGCTCGGCTCCATAACATTGCAGGAAGCTGAGAATACAGAGGAGCAGACAGTCCTGGTTAGGGTGAATACCTGATGGAGCGCGTTTAGCTGAGATTGCAGCAGGGTGAAGCTGGTCATTGTCCATCTTGATATGAAGGAGGGCGGGAGGGCAGTATAGTCATGAGTGGGGGGAAAAAAGGGAGTTTGCAGTGGGTGTGGTAATGACACAAGTTCTCCGTTGGTGGTGTTGTAACTACTTTCTACTGTGTATGACTGAAGTGTGCAAGCAGAGTATGGGACAGATTTACTACAACAGGCTCTCAATGTCCTCCTGTCACACTGCAGAAAACCACAGCACCCCTGATCCCAAACGAGCACACCCCGGATGACACGAAGCCCAGCATAGCATCCTCGCCGGAGAAGAGCTCCCCGAAGGAGCCCCCTCCTCCGTCGCTGGGAGACACGGGGGAGACCACCCCGGTGAAGGAGAAGGCCTTTTAACTCCGGCCTCCGGGACCTTCCAGGAAGGTCTCCCGTTGCAGTATTCAGCTCCGAAACGCCATGCTCTTCTGAAGTCGGAAAAAAACGTCAATATAAAAACTTGCGTTCAAAAAACCAACACATAACAAAGGTATCTGTGTTCTGCAGTTTGGCCGGTGACCACCCCCCTCCTGAGGAACTCCACGAGCCTGTTCGTATCCTCGTGCCCTTTTGGCAAAACTCCAAACTGAACCGCTGTGAGGAATCTTTTGTTCTCACTGTTGCTGTGGTGCAGTAGAGCACAGACCCGTCTTTCACGCCAAACTGGGAGCACTGGGATGTGTACCTGATGTGAACTGCCCTCAATCCTTTAGACATCAGCTGGGGAAACGAGAACAAGACCCTAAAGCCTTCATATCCTGTACGAGAGCCGACTGCGTACCACTAGCTGAGGGCTGGTTCTGAAGTATCGATTGCCACTGTTAGCGTTTTTATTTCAATTTTTAATTACAGCCGTTATGCTTCACGGCCATTCCTTCCAGGCCCATTGATCGTGAACATATTCCTCTGAAATATTACTCCTGCAGGACTCGCAGGTGAACCGTTTCAGCGTACGACACAAAATGGAACAGCACAAAGACCTGCCGCGTCCGAGAAGGTACATGGTGATGGATCGGGGGTGGGGCACCCTCAGAAATCATCCCCGCCTGTAAGCAGCAAAGGGGGGGGGGGTGTGGCTGTGTCTCAGTGATAACAACTCCAGGTTGCGTTTTTAAACATTTTTGTCAAAGGGAAGCTTGTTTTAAGAGAATCCCTGAGGAGAAAATATAGCAGACTTCCTGTGGCTGGTAATACCAACAACACCTGCCCCCCAACAAGAGATGTTTAAATTGGACCTAATTTGATTGACTGAGTTCATTATGATGGAAAAATGCCCTGGTATTTAAGACAGATGGGTCTTTCCTCTCAGCCTGGTAGTGTATTGCATATTAAACCCACTTTCTGTTCCTGGAGATTGGTTATTTCTTCTGTATTGCACACGTGTGCCGGTGGGGCTGTCAGGGAGGATGGAGTTATCAGATCCCCTTTGCTCTGGACAGGAGTGCAGGAGGGACCAGCAGGGCTCTTCATACCCTCACATGCTTCAATCCAGCCCCACACCTGGCTGTGCAGGTGACTGTGTAAATCCCAACATTGCTTTGTTTGAAGGGAAAATTTGGTTTCTGTAGACCTTAGAGTTTAGTAACTGTGCCTTATTTAAAAGCTGCACTATCACATGCAATTGAGGCCATCTGTGAAGAAGCTTAATGACTTCTTGGTAGTTTGGAAATTCCCTACAAGATTAAAAAAATATATAATCTGAGACATTGAATAGAATAATTTGACCAGGGCATTATATAAAATAGTTAACTTTTTTAAAAATAAAAGCCATCGTTTGTGAAATAGAAAAGTTCATAATGTAGTGAAATCCCTTGAAATGAAGAGATTTGAGTTTGATTGCATGCTGCTGTGTCTCGATGTCTGGGTGTTAATGTGGGGTGCCTTGTTCCAGCGCAAGGCACTCATTTCATTCTGAGGGGCATTTCGCCTTTTTTCCTCACTTCCTCCGCCTTATTTGTGCAGAGATCTGTGCCTGGAGAATCTGTTCAGAAGAAACGTTTGTGTGGCTCAAGGCCGCTGCTGTCCATGAAGCTCAGCTTCAGCCCTGTTTTCTGCTGCAGGACTGGGGCTGTTTTATAGTCAAAAGGAATTGTGCAAGGAAACCAGTTGTTTTCACACCTTTTGAAATTTCACGCCCAAGTGAGTAAGGGTGGGCTAGGCGGCCATCGGAGACGTGGTTAATAATGGCAACGGGATGAAAATTCAGGAAACGTGATCGTCCAGATCTGGAAAGTCTTCGGTGAGTGTTGTGCCACGGTGCCAGTGTCTGTAGGATGCAGTAATGTGATAGCGGGAAATGTCTTTGCTCATCTATGAATTGGCTTCATTACTCTGCTCTCCTCCCCACTGAGAGCTGGTGTGTGGTGAGCGTTCTGGCGCACTATGGCTGCCGTCGCATCATCCAGGTGGGGCTGCACACTGGTGGTGGTGGAGGGGATCCCCATTACCTGTAAAGCGCTTTGAGTGGTGTGTCCAGAAAAGCGCTATATAAGTGTAAGCAATTATTCTTATTATTATAATTATCATCTGTTTAAAAAAGTGTTTCTGATTCTTGAGTAGGCTACTGCAACTGTTGTAGCATCGTAGACCACATTGGCAGCGGGCTATGATATTTAAATTCCCTTTAAAAAAAGATTAGCTTAAGAGGCCAGCAGCCCAAGAGCGCTAAACTGTTTATTTTCTCCCAACGACTTGTTGTTCTCATCAAGCCCATAAGTTCTAGATTAGTTTAGCCTTGTGAACATTGTAGTTACAGTGAAGGAATTGCACTGCTGGCGCTCGGGGTGTGAGCGAAACGAGCAGTACGTAGCGTAGATACTGACCTAGTGTGTCGTTGTCCTTGTGACTCAGCTGTTCTCACTTGGCCTGTGGCGAGAGTGTCCTCTGTCCTCCTGAGGAGACAGAGGTGAGCTGTGTGGTAGAAGTAGCCGTGTTTCTGTAAGTCACATCCTTGCAGAATAATTAATTTCCGGACAGAGATCCATTTTTCATTGTCCCGTGTTGGCGGGTGTGTCTGGTTCCCATGGGAAAGGCAGGGGTTGTAAAATGAATGAACCTGCAGGGCGGATGAAAAAGTCTGAGTGGGGTTGTTCTGCAGAGTGGGGTTCTTCGGGCAGGAGTACTTGCTGCTGGCTCCCACACGGCTTGGACTAAAGGGCACAGTGTTTGACAGGAGAGGCTGCAACAGTGTCCCTGCCCGTCCTGGCCCTGCAGGAGCGTGCTGGAGAGCTGGGGGCTACTGGCACTTCTGTCTGCACGCTTTGATAGAATCGCCACTGTCCTGGTTTGTACCAATGGCTCAGGATTCTTCAGTCCAGGTGTTGAACATAAAAAACCGCTAGTGACCAAAATCAAACGTGTACAGTAACTAGGAGTCTCGGTGCAAAACCAATTTTGCCGGATTTGTAATCATTTATATTAATAAAGGAAATGAAAGAGAGCAGAATATTGAAATTATATATAGACCTATTTATCACGGTTGGAATTTGTGTTCACTTTGCTTTGTAATAACACTGTGATTATGTATATTTTCTTTTATTTATCACTTTTTTTTAAATGAAGGATCAATGTGTGTTGATTAAAAAGAAAATCTTGTCTTATTGAATTTGGTGTGCTCATTGTTTGAAAACGGCTGGCAAACCCTGTGCCGAAACCTAAGAGAGAGACTGTGTGCTTGGTGTAACATGTAGCAGAACTGCAGGATGTTGGGGAAAAACAACATTTATTTTTTTTAAAAGAGTTTACAGTCAAAAGAGTTGGAATGAAAAAAATTATCATCAGGAAAGAATAAACAGAAAAATACGAAACGACTAAGAGCAAATAATGACAGTAAAACACTACAATTGAATGTACGAGATTTGAAGCTCATCAAATGCTTTTCATTGTAGATAACGGTTTTTAAAATTAGAATATGTATAAAAATTGGTACCAGTTTGACTATAAATGAAAAAAAAAATCTACACCTTTTCCTTTCCAGGAAAAAACATTTGAGATGTACTTTACCATTCGAGGTCAGTATGCTACAATCTATTTCTGTGTCATTACTACTTGCGATCATCCAAAAAACAGTCTGGTTCTACACAAATTCACCTCGCCCACGGAGCTTTCACCTGCAGTCAGATAGAGATCTTCTGACTTTAGTGTTAGCCACCATCTATCTGTAAAGGACAACGATCTTTTTATATATATATAGCTTTGAGAATCGCCAATTATTTTTCCTTGTATCCACGTGACACGGGAGGAAGAGGAAGTGCAGACGGGCTCCTCCGCCCCGCCCACCCTGCAGCCACGCCCCCTCTGACACGTCACGGGCAGCATGGCCCCTGCAGGAGGTTCAGCGCCGATCGGAGGGGCGGCGCGTCCCTCGCCCGCGGGCGCCCAGGAAGGGGGCGGAGATCGCCGAGCGCCCCCTCGCGTGAGCCTCCACTCCAGCAATCCGGGTCACCGCGGGCCAGTGACGCGACCCAGGCTCGAACCCGTGCTCACAGAACCCAGGCTTTGCGGGGAGGCCCTCACAACAAGCCTAATGTACAGAACCATCTCCTCAGAAAATGTAAAGACACGATGGGCGTCTGTCACTGGAAAACTATCTACTGTTCTTAATTCAATATAAAAAAAGAGTTCCTCAGTTGCTTGGTAGTACTTCCATTAGCAGAGCACTTCTCGCCTGAAGACATCAGAAAGCCAGGTCTTTGCTCAGTATTCACCTTCGGAGCGCTGTGGTCCAGTAGTTCAAACTGGAACGGCGGCTTCATTTCCAAAGATGCCCTGAAACCTTTCCCAGCAGGAGGTTTTAAACGAAACACGCACCGAAGCGAGCCGAAGAACGTGCGAGTTTGTAATGCCAGTAAATCCATGTGTGGAGGTCGAGTCTCGGGGTGCTTGGCTTGGAGTCGGGGGGGCCGGTGGGGCCCCTGGGGGCTGCTCTGCAGAGGAAGAAGGGCGGCGTGGTTCCGGAAGGAGGTGGCGGGGGGCCGGGCTGGCTCTCGCCTGCTCCCTCAGGACTCCTCCCCCACCGCCAGGCCCCGCAGCTGCTCCTCCAGGGCGCTGAGCTCGGGCTCCGGCTCCTCGCGCCCGTTCTCCAGGTTCTCGGAGCTCTCGAAGCAGCCCGAGTCCCGGGGGATGTCCGTTTTCTCCTCGGAATTCTGGGACCGGCTCTCCTCGCTCCCGTCCTCCGGCTCGCTCTCACCTGGGAAGCAGAAACCTGCAGGGTCACCACGCCAGCCGACAGCTCGTCCTCCCTGCGGTCCCTGGGGGTGATTCTCCTGACCCAGCAAACTTACTGCTCTGCTGTGTTTCAGCGGCTCTGCTGTTGTTTTAAAAACGCCATGCTCTCTTTTCATTCCTCTCTGCGCTGCACTTACTGTCAAGAGTTTTTTTCTCAATTGCGGCTGGAATATAGAGGCGGCTGTCAAATTAGCACTCCAAAGCATGTTAACACTGCTGCCTCCTGGACACAGCCCCACCAAAGCAGCTGGCGTTCTCAGGCAGAAGCAGTGTAAGTGCAGGTGTTTCAATCTGTGTTGATGATTGTGGTGGGAAGGAGGATAAAAATATCAAAGTGTTTCTCCAGGGCAGATGAGAGTTTCTGCAGGCAGTATGGCACACTATGAAGTGTGCTTCAAGCCCAGAACAACAGGATGATAGGATCCTCCCTCCACCAAAAAGAGCTTACTAATTATCTCTAATTAAGAACTTCAGCATAACTTAATTGTACTGAATTTAAATGAATACATTGTACACCAGCATTTTAATCTTGGAGTAAACCTGTTCCCTGCTTCTGCCTTTGATGCAATCTTCACCCCAGAGAAAGGGAATGCATTCTCCTTTCATAACAAAGGAAAACATAAACACCAGAATGTTTTGTTTTTCTATCAGCGGGAGGTGCTTATAAAATGCAATGCCAGAGCAGGTTTCTGCAAGGAAGTGCGGTGGAGTTTTGCTTTAGTCATCTATTAAACAACACAGCTGTCTGCTGGGCATGGTTTCTGACCAGCCTGACACCAGTTTGTCACGGTTCCTGCTGTTCCCAGCAGGGGGAGTAATGAGCAACGTACTGTCGTAATCGTTGTGGATCTTGAGGAGTTTGGCGCGGTGCTCGGGGTCGGTGATGTTCAGCTCGTTGAGGTGAGACTCCCGCAGCTCCTTGAAGTCATCCAGGCTCTGGAAACCGTGCATGGACAGGAGAGAGCTGAGCTCCTGCGGGGGGAGGGGAGGAGACAGAGGGACACATCAAGCTGTGAGAAGGAGCAGGGCTAGAGGGGGAAAGACAGCACACATCCGCAGATTAATCAGCTACAGGCTCCTTTCAGTGCTGGGTGTGGGGATACAGCTCGCTGGGAAGGGTAAAGGAAGCAGGAGCAATGGCGATGGAGACACATGAAGGAATGGGAGACTGGATTTAATAACAGCTGTATCTTCCTCAGTCAAGAAAACGTCACTTTCACCCAGAATGCCACATCTACACTTGCATTACTAAACCAATGCCTAAACTAAGCTTTTCATGTGTTTGTTGTGTGTTTCGTCCGGCCGGTCCAGTCACCATCAGGCTGATTCTCTCCAGGACCTCCTCCAGGGTCCTGGGCTTGGCCCGCCGGTTCTGGCTGTGGCACTTCTTCCTCCGGGGCGGGGTGGACTCCTCGGGCAGGATCTCCACGTAGATGAACTTGAAGGAGCCGACTTTGTTGTTCAGCTTGCCCGTCCAGGTGCCCATGGGGGGCTTCTCTATGATGTCAATAATGTCTCCTTTCTGCAAGACCAGAACAGCAGGACATGGGGGTGGGAGGGAGAAACTGCAAAGCCAAATTCACGTCCAAAAAAACCCAAACAAACAACTATTAATGTGTTTCACTCGATTGCTGCAAGAGATGTTGTTTTCCATCATGTCTGTGCATGTGAATTCAGTGCAGAAGGGAATGCCAGTTTCTGGCCTTGGGCTCGTTGACCCCTCAATCCATCATCATCAGAAAGCCACTTATTCCAGGAAGAGGGCTGTGGGAACTTGAAACCTATCCCAGAAGCACAGGGTGTGACTGTGGAGGCAAGTCCCTTACAGAGCAAACGAACACACTCACACACAAGCACAGAAACAACTGAAAGATACCAACTGACCCAGCCAGCCAGTGTTTGGAAGGTGGGAGGAAACTGGGGCATTGGGAGAAAAACACAAGCAAACCAGGGACAACCATGTAAATGCCACACAGAAGGTGCTCCAGTCCAGAACTGAAACCGAGAAGTGTTTAGGCATGAGTTCACATCACACTGAGGTTGTCGGGGCAGCTGGAGCTCTCCTGCCATGTGATCTAAGACACACAGATCTGCTATCTGGTACTTTAACACACTGGATATTTGTCCAAGAGAGGCGACGAGGAGTATGTGGGGCATACCTTAAGCTTGAGAGATTCGATATCGTAAGGGCTGGGTGTGAAGTCTGTGTGCACGCGGGCACGACCACAGAACGGGCCCGTGTAGTTATCCTCCAGTCTCATGCTATCTCGATTACTGCAGCCACTGTCCACGCTGTGCCTGTCTCCACCTGAGAAAGAACGTGGTTAATGTCACCCAGATGGCTTCTAACAGTAGAAAAAGTATAAAATTCTAGAGGCCCTCCTCTCCTTAAGCAACCAAGCACAGTGAGTGATGTGGCGCCTGCAACCTATAGTCAAGCTGGCCGTGGGATATACTGCAGGCTGTGGTCTGAGCCGGAATTAATTCTATGAAGCAATCCTAGCAATCTGCTTAGTCAAGCTACTGCCAGCATTATTTAGCAGAACTGTCACGGGCGGCTCTTGAAAGATGACAATAAATGACTAAATCAGAGGATGTATTTTTTGCGTTTCTTAGGAAATGGATGCTCCTTTTACTGCCTACAATCTACTAGCAAGACTTCACAGGAAATGAATTAATATGCAGCAGCAATGTAGAGTAACGTTAATTTCCTGCTCTGAAAATACTATCTGAAAAGCACGAACACACTCACAGCGTGTGAGTCACTATTATTCTCACTAAGTATACAGAGGAGGCTCTTACATCCAGAGAGCTGGCGACTCAAAGGGCTGGGCACAGCCTCCTCCGAGTCGAAGGAGCACTGAGACGTCCTCTCGGCCATCCGCAAGTCCGGCAGGCCTTCCGACATCGGAGACATGGAGCCTTCTTCTCCACTCTCCACCTGCAGCAGAGACAAGGCCACACTCACAATCGCTCGTCCCAGGAATCAGCCGCAGTTTGGAAGAACTGAGGGCTGCGACACACACGAGGAGTTTTTTTGCAGTGCAGTGCAAACTGTTCAAACTGTGATCTCTGTTACCTCCAGCTCAATACTTGTCTTGATCACAGAGCACAGGAGGAGCAGCAGATCAAGACAGCGAGAAGCCAAGTGTGTGTTCATGCACCTTTTGATCCTGTGTGAGCAGGAATACATGTATGGATATGAGAAGGTTTCTCACCCTCATTCACCCAGGTGAACAGAGGCAAGATTGCAGAGTGGAACTGTTCAGACCATAGGTCAAATCCACAATCTTCCTCCTGACCTTAAATGCTGCCTTCAGCTCAACCACAGCGCTAGGCAGTCTCTCAGGAGGAAGTGTTTGCCTATTTCCTCTCACCAGAGGGCGCTGCTCTATCGCCCTGCTTATTAACAGCCTCAAGGCTTTCTGCTTTTTTTTTCTACTACAAGCGAATGCTGTGCTGCCTTGTGCTGTTGTTCACATGTTTTTTTTTTAACATTTTGCTGGTACTGGGATGGTTATATAACTAGCATGTGCAAACGCTTCCAGACTTTTGCAAAGTCATTCTGAATCAATGAGAAGGCAAACAAGAAAAAGCAGGATTTGTTCATTCTTCAAGAGAGCCCTCAGAGAAGCTTTTTTTGTGTGTGCAATAAATAAAGGGCTTCCCCAAAAGTAAAAATAAAGGTGTTTGTTTCTGGGATGCTGATCAGTCAGGATCTGTTAATGGTGCTGGATTCTAGTCACTTTCTGCAGCTCTGGCTTTCTGGGCCACAGGAGCGTCTCCTCTGGGAAGGATGCTACTCACCCCTTCCTCCGCCAGCGCTTTCTGGACCATCTTGGAAGTTTTCCGGGTCATGGTACGGGATATCACAGCTCTCCACTTCTTTCCCAGCTTTCCACTGCTCTTCCCACTCTCCTCCGGATGATGGCCATCCGCCTCCAGGATCTGGAAGGAGTCACGGGCACAGCTAGGGTCACTGCCAGTGATGGCCACTGCCCCATCTTTCACACAATCCCTCCCAGACCCCTGGAAAAGTGTACTGGTTGATAAGAAGTCCTGCATCCATCCTATCCCCCAGCCTCTTTGATACGAGGGGACTTATAGCTACAGTAGCTTATTTTTGAGTAATCAAACTCGATGACTAAATGAGTTCCTGTGTTGGAAACGTGGTGAATTATCTGCCTCCTAAATGCGAGAGGTTCCGGTAAAGTTCAGCTCAAATGGTGTTTTATTTCATCTCAGGACGTCAAACGGTTTAATGTTTCAAGCAAAGCCGTCCGTTTCCCTTTGTGTATCTCTGTATGAGTCATTGAGGCTCCTTCCCATGTGGCTTGGTGCTCCGAGTCAGTGCTGACTTGTGATGACAGTCCAGCCTTGAAGGTCACTGCAGCAGCAATAAAAAACTGAAGCTCACATCCTCCTTATGATGAATAGGAGAAATGAGTGGAGGACATTTATAAGGGCCTAGGGGTGGTTAAGTGGTCACACTCTGCTGCATGGTTAAAAACCTAAAATATATTCAGTGTCAATAACAGTGTTATTAAGCCTAACGTGCTGTAGTGTCTGTCACTGCTTCAAGAACACAGGGATCTTTGTTTCTTTCATTTTGGATTATTTATCTTGACCTGTGAACCTTTGTTGATGCCCTGAATATGAACTATAAAGAGTTCTGTCTGCAACTACTGCCTGATAACTCTGTGTGTCCTGTTTAAAGAACACCCACACTTTAAATGAAATGCTTTTTTTCTTGACGCAGCTTTCAAAAGAGATGATTTCACATGAGAACCACCTCAGTGTGCACTTTTGTCTTTTGGTGTAGCCATGGTGCAGAGCTGCTCTAAATTTGTAAGCTCATGTTCTCTCAGAGACCACTTCCCCTTCTGTGCTCTTCCAGTTGCTCTTCACTGAGCACGTCCTGTCTGTACACAAGTAAAGCTGCAGTCGTGGCTCATCTGATGAACCAGGAACAGACTCACGGCCCATTCAATCTCGCCAGGAAAAGGACGTTTCGATTTGTCCCTTAACCTTTAACCCCCATGTCTTCCAGAGGTGTGAAAAAAACCAGAGCACGAGTCACACTGAAGTGGAAGACACAGACAGGCCCTAGAATCGAACCCAGGACCCTGCAGCAGTGCTAAAACCATGGCTCCATTTCACTCTCAATTTCTTTAGGTGTTCCTGAGTTTTAAGATTTGATGATTACTTGAAGATTTCGTTTGGGAGCAGGCACTCATGCCCTTCACCTTTGATTCCCCCTTGAATTATTTATTTAGAGAACAGCAAGACAGTCGAGTCCCTTGGGTCGGTTATTCGCACAACAGTACTTTCTCAGCCCAGACCAGACTGCAGCTTCTGCGCAGACCGCGGATCTGTCCAGATGAACAGAAGGCCTTCTCTTACAAGAATATGATGCCGTCTGCCTTGTTGTTTCAGTCTGATGATGAATCATGCCGTTTCTGCAGGAGAATGGGTCGGGGGCAGAGATTTTCATTGGAACTACACCCCCACTCCATGTTTTTAGCTGGAATTGTATCCTGACCCAGAGCATGCCTACTTCTGCTTTTTTTAATCTGCTCATTGTGGTATTCTTAAAATACTTTTCTGTCTCAAGTGAGCAAACCAAAAAACAAAACAAGCCCGTGTCATTTCAAGCATTTTAAAATAACTTTTGGAAGGCCTTTGTCTAACTGCTCCTGTGGGACTAACTTTACTGATAGTCTTCTTGTTCTGCATTTATTCCTTGACTAACGCTGAAAGCATGAACATCAGCCAAAATGAGCTCTTTTGGACATTTTTTTATTTTTAAGGATTGATATCAGTACTCAAACACAGAACGCCTGTGGCTCTCCTAGTGCCACCCTAGCTGAGGGTGAGTTCTGCCCCCCTGGGTCAGAAACTATGGAATACTCACGCTCTCATCCAGGGGACCTTCCTTGTCCACCACGGGGGAGGAGGGCTTGTGTTTCATGAAGTCCTTGAAGCTGCTGGACCTCTGAAGAGAGAGCTGTGGAGATCGACATGGGGAGGAGAGACGTTAGTTGCTCTATCTAGCAGGTTCTCCTAAAAGACCCACCAAAGGCCATATCCGTACAGATACAATGAGAAATGACAATGCGGAATATGTCACTGGATCAAAGGCTAAAATCACAATGTCTTCACTACCAAAATGAAGTAGACAACATGGGCCTTGATCATGAAGGGTTTTGCTAATTGGAAGAGTAGGGATGCAAGAGCAGAGTTCAATTCAGGTTTGAAATAAGATTATAAGAAGGCCTGTGAGAGGTAATAACACATTTATTGTTACTTCTGATCTGTTTTTATTTGATCTTGCACTCAAGGGCAAATTATCACCTGCCCAAATATGTGTGCCCTCCAGCCCATTCATTTATTTGCCAAGAGCAAAGGGATCCATGGCAACTTGTTTTAAAGGGCACTACGCCATGTTAAAACCGATTCATTGATTGATTAATAATCGAATAATTAATCGAATGATTGACAGAAAGTTTGCATTGCTTCAACAGGGAACTGACACACTGTATGAGAATAAAGTGAAAATGAAAATTGCTCAGAGCAGCACCTCCCACCCTCAGAGGTGGAACTGGAAGACAGCCAAACTCTGAAACTCTGGTGGTGTAATGAGGTTTTGCGCAGCCTATCAACTCAGGTGTCTGCCAACAAACACGCTGGCCTCTTGAGCTAGGGATTTTGTACTGAACATTGGACAGAAACACCGGTCAGTGATTCAGACCCACATGATGCCCGTGCTTAAGTTGATCAACAGACAATTCGCTCATAAGTGTAGATTTTCCTGCAGGATCTAGGTAAGGTCCTGGTCTGTCTTTTGGATTGTGTGTTCCACACTGGGACTTGTGGGCTCTGTTGACAAAGGGAAATCTGCCTTCGTGCTGAGCTCTCTGCACAAGGCTCACTGCTCAGAAATGGCCTTGGTCTGACAGGATGTGTGTCAGCACCTCGAAACCGCTGAAGGCAGAGAAAGACAAGTGTGACACTAAAACTGGAGCAGCTGGATACATTTAGCAGAGCAGAAGCAAGTGCAGAGGCAGACGTTTCCGGGGTGCAGAACTGCTCTAATTGCACAAACCACTAACCAGCAATGTTCAGAGACCCAGCAGTGATGCAAACAACAGTGAGGACACCATGAGTCTGACTGAAAGCCAACAGAAGTGTGGTAGAGAAAATCCAGAGAAACCAAACGCCCAACGTCATACTCTAAAAACAAATATGGCATGATTCTTACTTACAGCTTCCCTTCTTTATTTGCTAATAATAATAATAATAATAATAATAATTATTATTATTATTATTTTATTAATAAAGCACCTTTCCAGACCCAAGGATGCCATACATAGTGATAAAGAAAAAAATAAAAAAGTACAATAAAAGTAAAATAAAAAAATAAACCAAATAACATACAGGGTATCACGCTGGGCAATGAGACATAAGCCCTGGTAAAAGGAGGAGTTTTGAGTTCAGATCTGAAGAGAGTCAAGGAATTTGTCAGGGGAGGGACATTCCACAACAAAGAAGGAGAGTCGAAGGAAAAGAGAACAGGCACGATCACACGAGGTCTGAGACTTAGTCCCGAGTACAGTGAGCAACTGAAGGGAGGGTGTGTGAGAAGGGAAGAGTTCAGGGATGCGTGATGGAGTCAGTAACTAGAGCTTGTATTGAATACGTGACTTTATAGGCATCCAAGGTGGAGACAACGCAGGAGTGTTGGAGTGATATGCTGCCAAGGTCTGGTGTGAGTTAGAAATCAAGCTGCAAGTTTTGGACATATTGAAACGCACTAAGAAGAGTGTCTAATGTATGAGTCAAGATAATTATTTAATTGCCAGATCTGAACAACAGTAGGGACTTGTCCTATCTGTAAGAATATATCCTGTAGTTCTTGTAAGTATAAGAAACCTTAAGTGAATCTGACATTTAAACGATCTGTACCTGTATCTGGGGTAAATACAGTAGGTTTAGTTTCCAAAGAGATTGTCTCTGCTGGTCACATGTGGAGCTAATTGTGTTACATGTGACAGTAATGAATATTCTTCAAAGCATTTGCAAGCAGCTATCACAAAGTCCTGCTATCAACACAGATGGCCAATATCCAGCGACAGCGAGGAAGGTGGTTGTGATCAGAGTCCTGAACGTTCCTATTCTAGATCAGAAATCAGGGAAAGCTACACGTTTGGGAAATGTATTGATTGAGGGGTAATCAAATTGGAAAGATGTGCAGATTGACCTTGAAAAGCCATACTGGTTCTCTAAGGCTAATTCACTAACCAACCTATCTGGCCACTACTGTCTATGCAAAAATTAGGAATGGAGAACAAAGTGTATTTAAATTAAGCCTAATAAAACTTGCTTTAAATTAAGCCATTAAAACCATGGATGTGTTTTGTGTACATTAGATTCGCAGTATTAATGCTTGTTAATATTGAAGATAAAAATGTCAAAAATGATTGATTAAAAATGATGCTATGGCACAGAGAGTTTTACATGACTTGACAGAATTACATCCTCAGCTCTGAACTGGAAAGCCCAACACTTGAGGAAGAAAACAGTCAACAATCAATTTAAAAAAATATTTAAAAAGCAGGAATTCCAAACGCATGTGTTATTATCTACAGTTTAAGGGCTCTTCATAGTACTGTGAGCTACTGTACTGGACTGTAGATCCAAAACAAGACAACTAATGTTAAATTCCACGACAACTGCACGAACCGATGCTCTGTACTGCGCTCAGGCTGCTTTTTGAGAAATCCGTCTTTTTTTGACTCACCCTGAAGCTGCGCTGCCCTTATCTGCACTCGACTCTGCTTTCTGCCTAACCGCAGGATGTAGGTGTGGCCACACGGCTACCCTCAGCCAATCGCTGCAGGAGGTTGGAGAGGAAGTACCTTGCAATAGTCTGGGCCTTTTCCCTGCTAGCATGCTTCTTTTCACTGTATGCAAATCAGACCATCTCCTCTCAAGACGCACAAAGGCTCTTGTTAAAAAACCGCAACGGCATAAGAACAGGTATTAGAACAGAAAAAAATGCAACCTCTGCATTACAGATTCACATCTTCTCCTTCTAAATAATTGCATTTCTTATCATTCCAAAATTATTCTGATGAACTATGTGCTAAAATAACAGCATGAACTACAGGTTATTAATTACAGCAATTATCACACATTAGACAGTCAGCAAGCGAGATCTTAATTATGGCTGTAATCCACGTCTTATTTCTTATGCTTCCTTTTGAGGTGTCATGAATAATTGTTAAACAGATACTCATATATCTGATAAACGTACTTTCCATATCATGTGAATTAATCTTTAATTGATATGCAGAATTTAATGAAGTCCAGTGGGATTTGCAATTAATCAGCTACAATATATTTTTCTTATTTTTCTTGTTCGCATTGTGTGGAGAACACTGTCTATTGTAAAACTGAATATTTTTATCAGGCTAATATTTAGGAATCTCAAAATAAGGTGATACAATTAGACATTGTATTTCCAGGCGTCATGAAGGATGGCTTAATTTAGAGCAATGCAGCATTGCTATACAATCCACTACCTTCATGTGTGGTGGCTGTGACTACTCATAATTTGAACACTTAATTTGCAGAAACTGCAAAACAAAAGATGACTCCTCCTGATAGCATGACACGATTAATTTGAGGATGCCCTGCAGTCATCAGGAGAGCAGGGTCTGATGGTTTAAAAAAGGCCACTGGTGCAGTTCTGAAATCTCTCATTCTGGTCTGAGCTAGAAAAGGCGACAGAGCAGCGTTGCTTGAAACGCACGTCGATAATGACAGAGTGGGAGGAAGCTTTGCCTCTTCACAGCGACTTTTGGGGTTAAACACAAGTGTAACTATTGACTCACTGCGTAGGCTTGTCTGTCCTAGTTGGAAAAAACGTCTCCGTGAAGATATAGGTCTGGCTGATTGTGCGATAGTGGGTTTATCGAGCTATTTCAGATTGCAGGTCTGCCAGCAGCCCTCTGCTAGTCAGCTTTATCCAGATGTGGCATGTGGCCAGAGCACTGCAGAATGGACAACGCTGTGAGGCGAAGGCTCCCACCTTTTCACAGATCAGAGAGGCTCTTTCTGACGTTTTGCGTGGTTTTTTTTTCGGCAGCTTTTGCAAGAAGGAATCAACTCACGAAAGAATGCCCAGCAACTGTAGGAGAATTTTCCTCAAATTTAGCTGAACTTTCAGTAACCCTGAAGTCTCCTTCACTGCCCAAAAGCTTAGGGAAAAGATACCAATTGATATTGGAAACACTTTAGTGCTCCTACACCTGGTTGAGCGATAGTCCCAGTGCCACACAGACATTCACCCTCTGAGAGGAGCATCAGCCTCACAGACAGTGTCAGATACATTAAGTCAGAGGCCGGCATGCAGGATGTGAAGCAACAGCACAGGAGTTTAAATAACCTGAACATGTTATGACCCTACACCTCAGGCACTTTGCAGTGACAACAGCCAGCAGATCAAGCTCCCTGCCACCCGTGAATCACTGAGAGGTTGATACCACGAATGTTTCTCTCATCTCTGGTGAATTCTAGTCTCTACAACTGCTGGCTTCCTGAGAGCTCTCAGGTCACCGGGCTGGCCTCGCTCCCCAACGCAGGACAAACCCACGACCCCGAGACCCCGCCACCTGCCCACTCACCTTCTTCTTCTGCACCTGCTCCTTGTCCGAAGCGTTGGAGGGCTTCCTTCGCAGCATGTTGAACTGTGGGGTGAACGTACACCGTGTCTCTCGCACAAGCGTGTCTCTTCCTCCCCGGTATCCTGTTGAAATGATTTTTTTTCGAAAGAGAGCAGCCGCCTACTGCGGAGAGGAGCGCTCGGAGGAAGTCACGTGACCTTGCAGGAACTGTGCAGTCAAGCGCTCTGGGTGTCTGATAGAACAGGAAGCTGGGGTGTCATTGTTTACAAGCTGAGGCCCAACAACCTCCCCGAGATGTCACAGGTGACCCAAGCACTGGTCAGCAAGAGGACTTGCCTTTTTATCTTTATCCTTTAACAACCATCTCAGGAACATTTCATTGCAACCAGTGACACTGCCTGCTAGCCTTATCAGACCTTGGGTTTTGATGGACTCTCTTGATTCCTAAAGCTTCCTGTGATTGGAGCACACGCCTACTCTACTACGCTTAAAATGGTGAACAAATTTCCTCTGCACTCATGGGTTAGCATTGATATGGGCTGAAGAGAAATCTTCACTTGTAAGGAACCTGGATGATAAGGTTATTGAACTGTTTTAGAAGCCTCAGGATTTGTAACAAGCCCTCTACAAGGCTTGACTGGACAAGTGTCTCCCAGTCTTAGGATCCCTCTGTGTCTTTTGTTTTTGTTCCAGCGGAGCTCTCAATCAATTAGGCCACCAAATCCTTAATTAAACCAATTGATTGTTTTTTAGCTGTTTTCTGCTCTCAGGGCTTAGTCTCACAAACAATCTAACTAGTAATCTAGTGAGTGGAACTCAGTTTCAGTTTGATCTAAAACAGTTGCTTCCCAACAGTTTTCTAGCCAAATGCTTCATCAATGACACTGTTAAACAATAGCCCACTGGATAAATTCAACTAAGTCATTGAACCACTAAACCTGAGTGAAAGGACAGAAGAAACCTATGTTCTAGCACAAGTTTCATGTGAATTTCTACCCTTGTTCAACTATTCAAGGGCTAAATAGTATTAATACTACAATCAAACATGCACAGGAGTGTCAATATGTACAGTTGCAAGACTTCTCATTGTCTGAAACTAGTTATTCCTCCACCTTTGTATAGCTAAAGCACAGTCACAACATAATGCGAAATGCAGAAGCTGTCCTCATGCTCTGGTAAAAGATACTTTTGCTATATCGTGCCACGAAAGAGCGACAAACAGGAGGTGTTGCTCAATTGATCTGTTTCTTTATTCAGTTGCAAAACAGGCTGTGACCCAAACAGACAGTGGAAGAGTTTCAGAACAGAGTGATTCATCATGTCCTGCCAGGAGGAGGAACAAAATCTTGTACTTGTGCGTGTAGGAGGAGAAAAACAATTAGGGTTTTAAATTAGGCTTAGAAAAACACATTGAGTCTTGTGATCCAGCACTCGGCAAGATTCCTATCCAGACGGGAGTTGACTGGCACTGCTTCTGCATCACCTTCTCGGCAGGAAAGAGGAGAAAGCAGTGTGGGTCTGGTGCATGTGGACAGAGCCGTCTGCGGGGGTCTGGTGCTGCTTCTGCCTTGGGCTTCAGAAGGGATGAACAGCTACCTGTCCTGATATTCCTAAGTGAAACTAAATATTGGTAGTGAGCTGTTTTTACACCCTGCACAGAAAGAAAACTGTTTAATTAGCTTACGTGAGAAGGCACAACTGGTGGATACGGGTCTGTAGAAAGCAGAAATGCAAAGGGCTGTGGTCCCAGTACCATGCAGGTTTAATTTCAGCTGATTAAATTCACCAGAACAAGCAGAAGTGCAATGGGTGGCTGGTAAAATTTCAGCAGTTCCAAGCAGCTCATCAGAAGGGTATTTCTTGTTAAGGCTGTTTCCTCTGCATTCTTTCTTACACTGCTTGCGATGTGGTTTCTGCAACTCAGGAAACACAAACGAAGATGGATGTGTGAATTCAACGAAATCCTGCCCTTGTTAAACCACTTTTCAACACTGTTTTCGCTCACAGCTGTGTGCTTGGTCAATGCTCAGGGTAATATATTAAGTGGGCTGCCCTGCTGCAGGAATTTGGAAGAGAAAGCAGCTGACCGGGGCTGTTCTCACCTCTAACAGTCTGCAATAACTGTGAACAGGTAAAGACACAGAGTCGTACACTTTACACAGACACCCACGTATATTTTTAGAGTGTGGCCTTGCGTGTTGAAAGTGAAAATCGTTTAGACTGGACAGATTTAGTAGCGTGTAACTGATGCTAAGCAGGTGCAAAAGTCAGAAATTGAAAGTTGGCAATTTCAGTCCAGAGAAGTGCTGCATCTCCCTCTGTCAAGCACAGCTCCTGACTCTACTAAACTAAATCAGGCTGGGAATTGACAGGGTACATGTGCCTCTTGATAAGACAACCAGGAGAGGAAGGAAGGAGAGGAGTTGCCTCTGACAGTGGGATAGGGAACATCAGAATGCTGGAGAGTTGGAAAGGTGGCTTTTGAAGGACATTTTGAAGAGCGTTTGCTGACTGCCCAGGAGATGTAATGGACTTGGGGATAATGGTCCCAGAATCATGTCTGCGTTATTGAAAACCCTCCTGAGTACAAGACTTATGGTGTATGTAAATGACCTGCAATAACTCCCAGGCTCAAGGTACAATAGTTCTTTGCAAGCTCAGAAGGTTTTATATCAAATGATCAAAACATTAGAAATCCTCAGTCAGGCTTCCATTAACTTCCCTGGTGAGGACAATACCCCACATACAGCATTAGCCTTGCTGACCACCAGCAGAGAGCAGCTAAATGAGCTGAAATAACCCAATGCCCTCCACCTGCTTGTCACCTTTCTCATGTTCTAATATTTTGGCCGGTGAGTGTAGAATGAATTCACAGAGGAGGCCACGCTAGCCGCAAAAAGAAAAAAACACAAGTGAAATAAGAAAAACATTCTTCAAAACTGAAACTCCTTGTCTATTTCAGACAATGAGAGACAGTTACTGAGACATTTCTGGCATGATGTGTGTGTGAGAAGTCTCAATGATTAAACCACCAGCTGCTGTATTTCTGACTGCTGACCACATGCAGGATTGCATGCCTTAATTTTGCCTTGCTGTGATGGAAGGGATACACAGCAATCTGCACTAAATACCCTCAAAGGTTCTGTTCCAAACTGAGCAACATGAGCCTTGATTCATCCCGAGAACAGGGTTAAAAGAAAAACACAGAAGCATGAGCAAATCCAGCAAATCTCAGCAAAGCTATGACAAAGTTACAGTCCTGAACAGAAACATGAATAAACATATTATCAGATAAAAAAAGGCTGCAATCTGAAAATCACTGAAAAGTGGTATGTAATCACTTAGAGAGCTGGGGAGGACTCATGTCAGGCAGTGTGCGCACAGTGCAGTGAAAACCGCCAGTCACCAGTTTCCATGAATGGTGCTATTGCACTAATACTGTGAAAGACTAATAAGTAAATTTTGTCCACTTAACATCTGCCTCACCTGCTTCTCACAACAATGTTTTATACAGTTCTTCAAGACTGACAAGATCAGATGCCATTAACACTACTGCTTTGCTTCACCATACTGTAAGTAGAGGTTTCCATTCTATTCCATGGCTAACTTCACTCAGGTTACGCCCTGTAGCACCAAGCACCTGGGGTCTTGCTTGTCTTAGACCCCATCCTGCTTTGTTCCTGGTTTTTATATCCTGTCCTATGAAATTATTCACTGTGAATGTGTCACCGTACGTTTAAGAGAAAAGCACGACAGTTTCAATCTGAAATCAGGTAGCTTTGCTCTTCTAAATTTTCCCCATAGAATCTCCCTTCAAGGTAGTGCCTTTCCTGTAATAGCCTGTGAGAAATGGAGGGAGTGTGAGTGCTCTCGGGGTGTTACAGAAACTGCACTGGCTCTGGTTAGCGTGCACTGGAGTATGCCACACTGCTTTGGTGAGCCACTGAGTACCTTCCACAACGAACCGCATGCTGTTTCCTACAGCTAGCAGGCCTTTGCCAGTGTTCACGACAAATCGAAATTAATGTGGGCTGTTTAGTAGTGTTATTGTGCAGATGTGACCTCCGTTATGCTGCAGCCTTGACTGCTTTTAGCAAACAGTGCCAATCCTTCTAACAGGGGTTCTGGGCTTTTCTAATTTTCTTAAATACGGTATTTCTCTTGATCACCCCAAACCCTTCAGGTTTCAGAACAGTTTGCATGCTCGATGGGCCCTATTCTGTGCAGCTCTTTCCAGTAGTATATATGAATATGTACAAACAGAAAGTTACTCATTTCTTTAGAAAGTGGCTTGTGTATAGTAGTAAAAACATCTTCTTTAATTCTCATGTGGAAGGCTATTTAGAAACTTTCCACCATCTGCTGATCTGTTCCGCAGCCCTGTGCAGCACGACGCGGGTTTCTGTGGAAGTGCACATGTCACAGACACGCTGTGACGCTGTGAGACACGGGCCACTCGACCAGCCTGCCACATCACCGTGCTGTTCCTCCGCTTGTCCCCCCCCAGGGCCCCCGACACAAACCAACATGAGGGGATTGTAAAGGGAGACTCGAATCCGAGCTCGGTGTTCACCTGCCACTCCATTCTGCTACACTCACCTCGATGGGGGCTGCAGCATGTGTTCATGTCAGCGCAGAAGCCCCAGTGGGACCGCCAGCCCCCGCCACAACCAGGGCCCCTCTCCGCTCACTGGCTGTGCTTCAGTTCCGCTCGGTGGCACAGTTCGGTCTCCAGCTGACACGCTACACATAAACACGCACTAGAGCTGGAGGCACAGCTTGCTCTGACTGGGGCTGGAAAGGCCTGCACATTGACTTCCCTCCAAAGGACGGCATGTGTCCAGCGCAAGCCACTCGTCCATGTTGTTGAAGCCGGTAACCGGGCTCTTTCACGAAACAGCTGAATGGCATCCTTTGATCAATTAGCCACTAAATACCTCAAGAGCTACATGAGCCGCCCGGGCTCCTCTTTTTACTAACCTTTCTTAAGTTCTTAAATACTTTTATGAAATAAAACACTGGAAATCATGGGATAGATGTGTACAGGGAGGCGTACGAGCTAATCCCACACTGAGAGTATTTCAGCTTTGGAGCCTCTTCAGGTGTGGGTGTGTGGAGGGGGAGAGCAGGGAAGTGAGGCCCCCACGCACTGGGTATAGATCCGGTGATCTGCTACAGCACTGCTGTGAACAGGGATGGCACTGGCAGATAGGGTCTGCCCTGACTCAGTGTTAATGCCAGCATGTTGCCTGTCCTGCTCCTTTAACTGTGACACTGTACTGTTGCCCGTCCAGTTACACGAGTGCTGCCATCTCTGCTGCACTGCCCACTCTGAGCACCCTGACGCTTCTTTGTTCAAGCTTGTCCACATATTCTTGATGACCAAATGTTTTTGGAAAGAAGAAAGCGTTTTGGCGAAGAGTGTTGATGTGAGGCGGTATGGTGGTGGAGTTGTTAGCTTTGTTGCCTCACAGCACTATGGACCTGGGCTGCTGTCTGCATGGAGTTTGCATGTTCTCCCTGTGTTCATGTGGGTTTCCTCCTGGT